TTTTTTTTTTTGGCCTCTATTTTATTGGGTCTCTCTCTCTCTCTCATCACTTCCCTAAATAGATTTGCTATTGCATTTTAATGCCAGTTCTCAAATCCTTATAAACAAGAGCTCAATGAATTTTGCACTAAAATAAAATTAAACATTGATAGCAAAGCCCTGAATAGCTTTAGTATTGGGCACACACTGTCCCTGCAATATGAAATGCTCAGACGACCATAAAACAAGCCTCACCTCTGCCAGGGATGGAGATCAGGGTGCTTGTGAGGGCCAGACTTACAGCGTCCCCCAGAGTGAGGTTCACACAGTATGTCCCAGATCCGTTGAAGGCTCTTCTCACGGTCAGCTGGCACGTTTCGTCCACATCCACAGGGCTGCAGACTGCATTCTGGGCGATCTGGCAGGTGGGGTCAGAAATGACAGTACAGACCTCCCTGGGAATGCTGCCATGTGGGAAGGGTGGGTGGGGACAGAGCAAGAGAAGGGGAGAGAAGGATGGAATATCAGTTCAAAAAAGGGGAGTCATTAGATTTCTATAAAATCGAATTCCACCTCATTCTTATCAAACCATACCATGTTGAATTGTCACAGATGATTTACTCTAAACAAGTCTGGGTGATGAGCTACTGTTTCTTCTGTATCCTCAGGAAGGTAAGGCCCTGGGGGTGGCAGAGGAGGAAATGATCTCCCCCAAGGCAAGGGGCGGGTGGAAACTGTCTGAAGCCCAAGTCATTCTCTCTACATTCTGGCTTCCTAAAATGCTCAAAGACACAGATGGCTTAGACGGTAGGCAAGGATATTAAACACCAGAGATGGCCCACCTGGCATTTATAATAGAGCAGCAACAGCAATAGCTGTCTATGCAGTGTCTCTACGTGCTAGGCACTGAGTTTCAGATACCTGACATGATCTCGTTTATTCCTCTCAATGGCCTTATAAAGAAAGTAATACTCTCCCAGTTTAACAGGTGACAAACCAGCTTGGGGAAGGGAAATAACCAGCCCAAGGTCA